CTTGCTGACACTTCCCAAGCAAGTCATGTTGTTTACAATGAAATGGCGTGTTGTGCGCATGCGTTATTTGATGTGACGCGAACAACTGCAGAACAAACTGTCTGACCAGACAGGATAAGGAATCTCCTCTTCTATTACAAGTAATTACACATTGTTATGAATATGTATCAGCAAATTCCGACCATTAGGAGACTCACTTGATATATTCATGCAGTATTTCAAAAAAAATAAAAATATATATATATAATTCGGACATTTAAATTTTGGTCAGCTGTAAGGGAAGAGTCCCGTTGGCTGACTTAATCATTTCGTGGTATTTTTTTTTTTCGAATTATTTGATCATTTTTTCCGAAACTCTGAAATTATATTTTCGTTTAACGTTGTATTCATTTTCATTCAAACATATTTTATTGACACTGAATAGTCAAAGGGATGGGGCAAAAGTTCTTTCAACTTACTAGTCCCTCTTCCAAACTATTATCTTATGTAATCGAAGTATTATTTTGTTTTAAGAGAATAATTTTCGTTTAAATTATATGAAAAGGCAAAACCTAAAAAGAGCGGTGCTTTTGTTGATATCTGATATTTACTGATTTCAGAATGAGATAAGCTTTATTTAAAGTCGGCTAGTCGGGATAACAATAAAACAACAAGCTCTAGTGAGATTTTAAGACCTTAAAAACAATTAGGGGAGATCGGGGCAAGTTCGGCCAATTATTATTAAAGTTCAGTTTTGAAGAATTAGTTAACTTTTCCTACCGGAAGATCGGATCGCCGAACGAGCCCCGCCATACGGTAAGTTCGGTCAGACATTCGGTTAAGTTCGGCCCACGCTGGAATCAGTTTAATTATGACGTCATTAACCAGGCAACGTCATACTTTTCCGCTATTTTGCGACTTTGTATGTGTTGCATGGGCCGAATTTGCCCCGGTATCACAGGCCGAACCTGTCCGGGCCCAAATTTATATTTCAATTCAATCTTATTGTACAGCAATATGATAGTAAGTGCTTGGCGTGGTTTTATGTATATCATTATAAGCTGTCAATGAGTAACACGTTTGACCGTAAAAATGTTGCAATTCCGTTTCCCATAACTAGAAAGAAGCGAAATCATGATTTGCTTTCTACATGTACCTTCTCAAAAACAACTTTCTCCTGTTTAGAATTTTACATTAGAAGTTTCCTCGACTTTTTTTCGTGTGAATTTCCTGCAAACTGCTAAGATCCTTGAAGTTGTAACTATTAGCTCGAGAACAAAAATATCAGGGGTGGCCAAAGGTACCCCGGTCTCCTGTATGTAGCCGAAATCGACGTCGATTTAGTTGACAACTCGTACACATTTTGCACCTTTGTATGCATACGCTTCACTGGTCATTTGTCTGGTGACAGTGTACATATCGTACTAGTCATCGAAACGGCACATAGAAAATGTTATTGGTTGTGTAAAAAAGAACTTTTCATAATACAGTGTACACGTTTATACTCATAGAAAAGAACACAGTGAAAAAGTTTATTATCGTAATAAGAACTACATATAGTTAGAAATCCACTCGTGATGGTGACTGTTAAACATATCCAACTTGATCGAGTGTTTAACGGAGGAACATTATTGATACAACGTAGTTTATTGGTTATGAAACCAGAAAATCCTGGTGTTTAAAAGGGCTCTAGAATTGCGAATCAAATGTGAATCTATAAATCCCAAATGAAATGGAACGTATTTTAGATTTTAGAATATACATGTGTAAACGGTGATATGACAACAAGTAGACGTAAATACCACTTTTGATTATCTATGATATGAAAAGTCAAAGCCTTAAAGAGCGTAGCTTTTGTTGATCTCTGATATCTACTGATTCATAATCCTGCTTTCAGAATGAGATAAGATAAACTTTATTTAAAGTCGGCTAGTCGAGGAATAACAAAAAAACATAAGCTCTAGTGATATCAAGACCTACATAACAATAGGGGAGGTCGGGGCAAGTTCGGTCCATTTTTATCAAAGTCCGTTCTGGGAAGTATGGCCGCACATCCGTTTTTGAACATTATTCATTTTTCCCTGTTGGAAGATCGGATAGCCTAACGAGCCCCGCCATTGGATAAGTTGGGACAGGCATTAGGGTAAGTTTGGACACCATTGGTATCGGCTAAAGTATGATGTCATGACGCATACAAGGTAAGATTTTAACACCAATTTTACGAATTTGTATGTGTTACATGGGTCGAACTTGCCACGGTATCATTGGCCGAACCCGTCCGGGCCCAAATTGATATTTTAATAAACTCTTATCGTACAGCAATATGGTACATTATGTAGGTAGTGAGTGCTCGGCTTGGCTGTTATGTATATAATTTGAAGCTGTTAGTGTGTTACACGTTTGACCGTGAAAAAAAGAGGCAATTCCGACAACGCGGATTTTCTCCGAATACTCCATCTTCCTCCCACATTAAGAATTAAATCCTCTGCGTGTTTCCGTCAGGGCACAAAAAGAATGATTGAGATAAGTTGGGGAAAACATTAGGTAATTGCTATGGAAAAAACTATTATACACATTTGACGATGAGTCTAAATAAATGAATAGAGATGTTAGTTAAAAAAAAAAACTAAAAAAAAACAACATTGTGATACTGTATGTTACTGAGATTGTCGTTATATTTTTCCAATTTTGTAACTGTCACCGAGGTTTGACAGGTACAGATGCTGAATAAAATTAAACAGTGTCTGTCTATCACTAGTTATAAATCGGAACGCGTTTTAAAAAAAGTATTTCGTTGCTGAAAAAATGAGTTGAACTCGGTTTGGTTGTCTGAACAATTATTGTAGATTTCGACATATATGAACTATCCATTGTTTCTTTTATGAGTGTTGATGCAAACATAAATAATGTAAAGACTATAACCAGACTTTCAAAAACGTTAATTATTTCCTTCATATTCTCAAAAAGTTGAAATCAAAAGCTGAAGAAAAATGTAAACGTTGACCTATTGGTTTAATGCGGCTCTTTTTTAAGATATTTCCAGGTAAAAATATTAACAAAACCTGGTTGATGACAGGATCTTTAGAAAACATTCGCAATTTTACTTTTAGTGCCTGCGGCAAAAACTGAAATAAAATAGTCATGAAGCCCCGACAATGAGATAAATGCAACGGACATCAGTTCCAAGAGTTTCTGGTTATTTTTCATCCTTCTGGAAATAACCGATGATGGCCGATGGAGTGTGACGTGCTTGTGACGTCATAGCCTTCGGCACCCGAGAGCTACCCTCTTATAACTTAATCCCACAAAGATTGAGCAATGACTTACATATGTTGTCTATTGTTATTTAGATACATGAAGTCTAAGAGATGGTTTCAAATGGTTAACATATATACTTTATCAGTAATATTTCAAGTTTGAACATAATTGTTAGTTAGATTTCAATGTCTTGTGCACACTAGTTTGTATCAACAAAAGGAATTGATGTTTTGTTTTATGTTTCGTTTATTTATAATTTATTTGAATACATAACTTATACATGTGTAATGATAAATCCGAAGAGAATATTTGCATCAATTTATAATACAAACTAGGAAATGGATAATATTTTATAAATTTAGGCTGAGACGGAAGCAATAAACAAAATAATTCTTCTGTAAAAATATACAGAAGGTAGCCTGTTGAGAAAAAGTATACTTACACAAAAATGATACGATGACGCTGAACTTCAACACAAATCTGGTAGGCATTTCAAAACAACAGAGCGATACTCCCCATGGGTCTAGTGTATGTTCATCGAAGAGCGTATCAAGGTAATACGTCTTATATTTAAAAAATAATGCCAGATAACTAAATGAAGGAACCAATTGAATTAATCTTGAAATATCAATAACTAATATGTATATAAGGATCAGTACGTACTGGTACATATGACAATGCAGTAGTGACTTAGCATGTACCATGGTCAGAGTATAGAGTTTGTTTAGGGAATTACGAACAAACAAGTGTATACAAAATACAAATCGTTATAAAATTAATACCAATAATGGGCGTCTATAGACGAACTAGCTATATAGGGTTGAGTTGGTCTCAGGAAAAACAGGCTGACCATTCACCACCGATGTATAGGGTAATTAGCATAATAACTGTTAGGACAGACATTGCTAACTAGAATAGGACATTCACTGATCAAGCCCAGTTATATATACATGATACTATAACTGTATTCATGAAGTTATTCACATACAAATGTACGAGGGACATGAACACTTTTTTTATATAATATAATTACTTGAGCAATCATTTTGATATATATATATATATTGTAAATCATTATATGTACAATACTATAACACCATACACAATGGTGTCCATTACAACATAAGCATACAAAATGGTGTACAATACGATATTACCATACAAAATCAAAATCAATACAAATAATTACTATTGAATTTCCGTTTTCTATATTTTCTATATGAACAAATAAAGTGTTCATTTTAGATATAAAAGTTAAAAAAAGAAAATAGAATATATAAAAAGGAATTGATACATGACAAATATCATATAGAGTTAAAATCTGCAAAACATCAGCGAATTTCATCTTGAAAGCTGTGAACTATCTTATTAATTTAGATTACCAATTTTTTTTAATATCTATATCTTATAATCGTCCTTACAACCGTTTCGAAATATTTCCGAAACGCCATATTGACGTTTCGAATTTCCTTGGGTCATCTTTTCTCATTTTTTCTAAACATTTTAAAGATTTACAATCGGGTATATCAAAATTCAAAAATTGATTTTGACAAAGCATTAACAATTTTAAGCACAACACACGATATTTACAAAGCAGCATCTCAAAAATAGTGAATGAAACATCTTTGTATGATAAATACAATGTAGCACTACATGCTGAGCCGGCCACTTTTTGTAACTGTTGTTGATATGAGTAAAATATGCTTCAGAAAATCATAAATTGGTTTAAGATAAATCCTTAGACTTGTCATTCACAACCATATTCACTGACTATGTTTTCGTTCCTTGGAACCTTTTCTCCAAGTTTGACGTCTTTTATGACGAGTTTGCATAACATTAACTATATCAATAATGACAGGGAGGAGGACGAACAGACATATTATTAGAATGCCTCCGGACCCTATATACATAGCGGATGATCTTGGGTCGTAGGCACATGTTATGGTCTGCTTATACATAGCAGTGGTCTTGTAGTGTATCCTGCTGATCTTATATGAATAGCTTGGGGGTTCCTCGGACGACGTAGGGGTCAAAGTCGACGGATGTGATAATGTGCAGACTGAAAAAAATAATTTGAAAGGTAAAACTATTAGTTAGAATGCGAATTGAAAAGATCGATATTAAAGCAAATGTCGTTCTAAGCCAGATCATAGCACATTACTCTCAACATTAAATACGAGGCAATTTACTGTATACATATAATGTAAACATTGTTATTAAAAAAAGATGAGTCACTGTTTACAAAGTATTAATACATGTTAATGTACAGAGTTTTATACAGGATTATTTACAGTGCACAAGGTCATCATGTATAAATATTTTAGGCACGGTAGTCTAATGGTATGGCGTCGGGCTCGTGACCAAAGGGTTGTTGGTTCGAGTCATGGCTTTGAGCAAGATACTTTACTCTACTTGTTCCAGTATATTCAGCTTTAAATGAGTACGTGTGCTAGCTGTGAGCGCCGAAATGGCAGCACCGACTGTATGCTCCCCAGGGAGTTGAGGTTGCTATTGGCTGGTTGCAATTAAGGCCCTATAACCACGGATAATAATCTGTAAACCGCTTTGTTATGACCTACTAAAAGTTCTAGTTTATTATGATTATAAAGAGTTACATTGTATTTACTCTAAGCAGTGTTCCTATAAACAAGGTTATATACCATATGTACGGTACATTTGTATTATATGACAAATTGTATAAGTTACCGTTACCAGCTCGAGAACCACAATATCAGGTTACGAAGACCCCGATGGTTCATATCAAATGCGAGGGAGAATAAGGGTATGATATAAAAATGGTTATATCCTAAACCTAAACCCACCCCCCTTATTTTTTAAGCTTCCAAAAATTGAAGAGTGGATTTCCGGATTTTGTCAAGAACGACATACTGCGAACAGAGTAATTTAATTTACTACACACAAGGTTATATACCGTATACATACATATATATATATATATATGTATGTATGTATACGGTATATAACATATGCGCTCCACAGATACATTTCAATGTACAATCAACGGCAAAGCGTATCACATACTACAAACGCTGACATGCACATCAGTCAATGTGGTGTACCTTATTACTTGCAATAAATGCTATTAACAGTACGTGGGCGAGACCTGCATACAGCTCAATGTCAGGATCAACAACCACCGCTGCTCTATCAAGCAGAACAAACCAGACTTCCCTGTGGCAAGGCACTTTAATATGCCTAGCCATAGTTGGAAAGACATGCAGGTTGTTGCCATAGATCATTGCCCTACATGGGGTGAAACGAGACGACGTACGACAGAACGGTTTTGGATCACCAATCTACAAACCCGCTACCCTCGAGGTATGAACGAACGATAGGCGGTTGCCATCCGCTCGTTTTCCTTCCAGGGGGCATTTGACCTAATGATGCATTACTGCACAGTTGGTCTGCTATCTCGCCTGCCTGCTGCTTCATGTCAGTGTGTGTGACCAACAGCCGTTGTCAGATTAATTTTGCAGATGTATACAGTATCTTAGCCATTTCATCTACTTATTCCTCCTGCACTATTTGATAATTACTTGCATAATTCCTGCAAACCAAAAGAGGCACATGCTTTATTCCTGCAAACCAAAAGAGGCGACTAAGTGTGGACCCCCTGCTGTAACAGTTAGATCTATCGCAGTATTGAGAGGCGACTAATGAGACATTACGTAGCAAATTGGAGATTTTTCACATTTACCGGGCCAGATTTCCACATGCACATGTTCCACGTTTTTGATATCTCTCGTTGACTCACTTTACATGATAGTGCATCTTGCGCAAGAATAGGTCCTCTACATCAGCGTTCCTTGTCCGCGATGCTCTCAGCTTAATTGCTGCCTTCGGCTGTCTTTAGCCGAGGGGACTATTGGTTTTATATAATAGCTATAGTTTCAATTATAGTATATCAATTCTATCTTCTTGTAATATGATGTATATGTCTAAACTTGTCCACCTTGTTGGAATTACTTCTTTGCCCCACATATTTATATATGTATATGGTTTCAAACACCCTTTAAACGCTCTATATCGATTTTATTTATGACATAAAATAATAGGGTATTGTTTACGATTTTTACTTGCGCTTTTATGATAGCAGTGATGATTTGTATTTAATTCACAACAACGATATTATCCTGTTGACTTTCGTACCTGAACAAACGGGTAATTGTCCTTGCCATATGCCAAACAGACAATAATGTTCGATATCCCCCGATGCCACGAAATACCCGCCGATACAGGAATACAGTGCCACACACCCGCTCGATGTACCATTATGCAGCACTTTGGCATTTGCAACAGCTGTAGGGTTATCGCATTGCCGCGTTGCTGGGGTGGGAGTTGCAGTTGAAGTTTCACTTCCTGATACAGAGGAGGAAATAGAAGGCAATCCCAGATAAGTTGTAACTAGGGCACTCGAAAACGCTTTGATGTCTGATATCGTTGAAGAAGTGAAATCCTTTGGTATAGCGTTAGTAGTGGTTAGAGCTGTGGTTTCCGTATGCGAAGTGAACTGAGTCGAAGATGTAGTATAATTTGTAAGTGCTGACTCATTTTGTAGAGGGGTTGTTGTTGTATTATCTGCAAAATCGAATATACATAAGTCTTACTGGGTACATCCTCCTTATCAACCCAAATTGAATGTCAATTTAGTTTAAATCATTGCAACGGTAATTTTTACCTGCAGAATGTTTGTTTCATTTGATTTACCTTGACAATGTAATACTACGTTTTGTGTTATTAAGTTACATGTGTGTGAATAAACTGATTAAGTGATCAATGGACAACATGCAAATAACATTTTCCAAACAGAAATTGTCTACGATGTTCCAAAATATCAATTAATAATAAGGAAAGGGTATTACCTAATATTTGGCAGTATAATCCGCTGTGTGTGTTGGGACAGGAACACTTAACGTTGTTACTATCTACAGGCCGTGTACAGATCCCAGGAACGCATGGTCCGTTGTCTTCCCAATGGAACAGAAACAATACATATTATAATCATTGTCCTGGATGTTCGAATGGAACAAAAAAGCTATGTATCATGACGCATTATGATGATTATAATCTGAGTTGCTTAATTATGATGGTTAGTTATCATATTGATCCAACTCGAGTTGGTCTATTATCAAATTGTTAAGAGACATGAGATTTACCGAGTGTCATTTACAATTTGAAAATTAACTACCGAGTGTTAGATAAACATTATATTCAACCATCACGAGAAAGTTTTGGGACTATTTTTCTCCCACAACGTTTAGATTATATTTCTAGAAAACCACATATTTCATTTGGGGAAACATTTATCCCGTCAATGGAAGATGACGTCGCAAAGCATTGTTACTCGACGTAATATTTAAACGGTTGACCAATGAAGTAGTAGACAGGGTGTTACCCACTTGTTGGTAAACAAAAATATTTACTAACTCCTAGCAGGTTTTTCAAACGAGTCGGAACTTACTCCTTTTTGAGTTATTGATTTGTTTTCATTATTTTTTGGCATTAGGTATACCAATGTTTTTGTTTCTAAAAAAATGTATAAGGGACGGGGGCAGATTTCCTTTATGACCCAAACTCACCTGTGGCGGACGTATTATAGATACGTATTATGACTTTGCCAGAGGTAGAAGATTGTTGGTAAATACCGCCTCCCCAGATACCTCCAATGAACACGATTTTACCGTTGTACAGGTCTGACGGTCGCCACAACAGAAGTGTCTCGTTTGTGTACACGTAGATGATACCACCATATTGACCTTTAGTTCCATCTGTCTGGCTGTTTCCAGCCGCCACAAACCGGAAACCATCGTTATTTCCGTTGTTAACGGTTACCTGTAAAAATTCGTTAAATTATTTGTTGCAATAAAGAATAACAGTCAATGAATTGATTATTGTTTTACATTATTATTCTCATTTTATGTTGTTGTGTTGTATTTACGTATCGATTGGTTCCGAATTTGACCTTGTGTCTTGGTAATGTTTTTTCGATGATTTTATTTAACAAACACAAGCAGAAAAGATAATCCAACATACTTTGTACACAACGACAAAACATACCCCATCATAAACTCGCGATGACCACACTAACAACTGCGTTTACTAACATTGATCAAATAAATCAAAGCGTTCACAAGGACAAAAAGTACTACATGGAGGAATTACATCGAAAACATACAGCACGGCGTAACCTTGCACCACCAAGGTCTACCAAAGTGCTTACTTACAACGACAAAGTCGATATTTAACAACGCCCGAGTATACAGCAACACTAACAAACAACAACAAAATATACCAAAGATAGTGATAAAAGATATCACAGTGTTACGTAATATCGACAAAACACGCCACAAAAAGACCAAACAACGACAAAACATAGCAACGTAACCTTACCACAACAAATTACAGACTATGATATAAGAGTAGTCACAAGAGCACAACGGCACCAAGTACATAACAACAATGTCTAATTCAAAATAAGATTATGCAGATCTTATGTTGTGTACCATAAATTTGGCATTCATCTTTTCTATCCTAAGAAAAGGTACAAATAATAATTTCAGTGACTTGACAAGATAAACAGCTTACATCTACGACAATTAGGTAGTTGCCTGAGTTATACTGCTGTAGAAAGTCAACTTCATATGTGTTGTTTTGCCCTTGAGCCATGGTCATTGCCGTCATGAACACCCGGAATGGGGATGGAAATATCCACATCAGTATGCGAACACGTCCACTTCCCGAATAAGAGTGTTCGTTACTTCCCCAACCGTCGTAGCTATTACAAATTGCCGCTTACGCATAAAAATAAAACATACCTTATATCAAGATAAATACAACTGAAATCAATTGTGTTATAGGATAGTGTTAAAACCAGACATATCAAGTTAAGTCAGATAAAAAAAATATGAGTTAGGTCTTGTCTAATCTGATAAATGCTTCGATTGTCGCTTTCAAATCATTTTGATATTATTGATATTTACCATAAATCGTATTCACTATATTTCGGTCGGGTTTTTTTGAAAGAAGGGAGAGGTATATTATCTTGAATACACTAAATCATTTGCCGTTACATTTAATATGCGTGTAAAAAGGACATTTTCACGATAAAGGAGCAACACATGTGAACAAACAGTTTTTTCCAGTATCCTCCATCGTACTTCTGCTCGGTGACCAGAGGCGTATGGCGTTGGCATTGTACCCAAATATGACACCTCCAATACTAACGAAGGGATCTATCCCGGTCCCATAGTATACAGTGCCTAAATAACATAACCGTGAAAGTCAATGTCATCTACATTTATACATGTACAAAGAGGATATATATTTTACGAATGCAGCAAAATATCGAATATTTCCACGAATGCAATGCACGACAGAATATAGTATACCGTGCCTAAATAACATAACCGAGAAATTCAATGTCATCTACATTTGTACATGTACAAAGAGGATATATATTTTACGAATACAGCAAAATATCGAATATTTCCACGAATGCAATGCACGACAGAAAATGCCGTAAAATCGGACATACGAGTAAGATTTCGTAAGAACTACGTAAATAACAGACAATGTCATCGAGTGCAATGTCGTCATAACCAGAACCTGATGAACCGGATAGGAAAGTACCGCAACATTTCAGTTTGACACTGTTCTAAACTATGGAACAAAATACATGTTGGATATTTTAAAGATTTGGTTATCTTAGGTAAAGTATGGGACTTAAGTTACATAGAATAAACTTTATTGAGATTTTATAATGCAAACAGGTGGACAGGATAAGGATTTGCTACATTACCTTGAGCATCCGAGTACATAGAAGGCGAAGAGCCGACGCAGAGTGTCTGCACTGTCACTAGGTCGGGGTACGTCCCAAGTTTGTGCTGTATTTCTTTGTAGTGGGTGTTTTCTTAATTAAAACGATAGTTGATATACTGTCATCTACTTTCAAAATATCAAAAAACGGATGATATGTTACTTTCCTTCTTAAAACATAAAAATAAGATGTAAACCTATACTTCTAAAGACAAATTTGATTAAGGTTCTACATATGTTTTCCTTCTTTGTTATTCCTGTTTTAAGTCGTCTGGTGTTAAATACTGATACGTATAAAAACACTAATTAGTACACTCACGATCTAGATCGACCCATTCATACTGGAAAGCTGGATCGCCGAAGTCACACATCAGCCACACTCTAACTCTGACGTCAACGGTATTGTACCGTCCACCGATTCGCTTGGATCCAGTGTACCCTGTCCCTCCTATAACGTTAACAAAGGCACCAGATGATCACGGAGAGAGAAAAAAAAAGAACGGTTAGTGAGATTGTAATGGAATTAACTGCAGCTGTTCATACAATAAGGAGATGAAATAATCCGTTAACGTCATACTTATGACGGGACACTTACTCTCGCAGCAGCTGGTTCATGTTGTGTTTGCATATCGTGGTCTGATTTTTTCCGGATAATAACTGTATAAAAAGGTAATTTACTAACACAAAACATGACAGACAGGTCAGATGGAAAGCCGTCTATGTGATAACATTCGTGTAACTTTTAATTCAACAACAAGCTACATTTACAAACATTGACGTAGTTATACAACAAAATGTCAATGAGTAGTGTACATCACATCAAATTATCTCGAAGAGCAGCCATTATAGGCGAAGTGAATATACATTAATTAATTAATGCTAGCAATTTCCCTGAAGGAGGCAAACAGACTTAAATATGATATTTGAAAATAAGATCGGAGACTACCGAATATATTTCGGTGATGTATCACAAAGTCGACTCTTTAAGCCTGTCCATACGAACACTCACGACTCTCCGGTACAGAATTGTACGACATTCGATTGGTGCCGTTAATAGCAGTACTATCCTACTCCAAATGGCCGTCAAAGCTAACCTTTCCCTTTACTTCAGACATTGGAGTACCGCAATCATTGTCTAGTTATTCTATACCCATTGATTTAAAGATTTGCAAATACTAGCAAAAACTACCACAACTGAATACACATGTAAATGACCTTAAAATAACTCTTCCTTCGATATGCTCTTGCTTTACATTCCCATATAAATATGTTCCAGCTTTACATTCCCATATAAATATGTTCCAGCTTGACATTCCCATATAAATATGGTCCAGCTTGACATTCCCATATAGATATGGTCCAGCTTGATATTCCCATATAAATATGGTCCAGCTTTACATTCCCATATAAATATGGTCCAGCTTGACATTCCCATATAAATATGGTCCAGCTTTACATTCCCATATAAATATGGTCCAGCTTGACATTCCCATATACATATGGTCCAGCTTGACATTCCCATATAAATATGGTCCAGCTTGACATTCCCATATAAATATGGTCCAGCTTGATATGAAGCAAATGGCAATCTAAGTAGTAACCTTAGTGCAAAGAGCTTTTCATGAATGGTCCAAAGTATCGAGAAACTTATCAATAATTTAGGGTTACAATCATGTTTGCCACTTTTCTTGTTTTGTTGCCCTCTGCGATTTATTATAAAACTTTATTTATTTTAAAACAATTATGAAACAAGTTTAAACAACTTATATTAATCACTCTTGTTGGCCCAGATGTTAGCGTTTTTTTTTTTTAAAGGGACATCACGTGAAGAGCCATATTCTTTTAATGAATGTATGTGTTGTATGCACATCCACTTATGTTACTTTGCTATCCCCGTATTCATAGTCCGTTCCAAATGTCCAGTTTGACTACTTGAATTGTGCGGGAAGACCCCGTTAAAAAAGCGCCAATAATGTCATGTGACGGTTTTGAAACGAGACAGTAAAAACCACGGTACAAACCTTTCTGTAAAAAGGATTATTCACGAGAAAAAAATTTTTTTTCAAATTATCTCATAAAGTTTATATATGCATTGACAAGCAGAAAAAAAAGGTTTGTGATTGTTTTATTACAACTCAATGTCTTTGGCCACTTTTCTCTAAACCATGCATTATATATATTCATGTATTCATACATTAACAATTAGTAAGTCATATTAGTCGTCAGACACAATAAACATTTCTGGCAAAACCACTTCGTGTACATGTAGATTATGTGTCAGATATGGAACGTGTTGAGATAGTTGATAATTGCATGTTTGTTTTCAATACTTTACAGAGATTAAAGCATTCTTGAAATGGACCCTCTTTTATTCTGAGATAACTTTTCTTTAATCAACTCCTTTTGTCGAAAACAAAAGCCGTCGTTATCTGCCGCACGCGCCATTTTTACAACGTAAACAAGGGACTGTTTTCCGTGTTTTCAATGCGTATTCCGATTCTATCTGAAAATTGAGGATTTATAGACAAAAATTGTTGCATAGCATAAATTCTAAGTTAACATCGTGTTAAAACAAACTTTTGAAATATTACCATTTAAGAAGTATTTTTGTTATGCGATCCCATTTATTCATACTGAACCGTCATTTTGGTATATTTAAATCCTGCATGTGAATAAAAATATCGTTTACTTCAGCAACATAATTAAATCATACAATTTACTTAGACTCTCTTACATTCTTATGAATATATATCAGTCAAATCTGACCATTATTTTCCATAAGGAGTCTCACTTCATATGTTTATGTACATGTAGTATTTGAAAAAAAAAATAAAAAAAAATGCTTCACTGTGATGTCCCTTTAATGTGATCGGGCAGGTGACCCCATACGTTTTCACGTCCCATCAGGGAATCGAACCCTGGCCGCCTTGGTGAAAGGCAAGAGCGTTATTCACTGCACCACCCGACCACATCTGAGATTTTTGAAGGTTTATCAGGACTTGAAACAAAAACCCTCGCCAAGGCATTTAATTTTACTTTAAGATATATCGACAATATGCTGTCTTAAAATTACAAGAAATATATTACGCACGTCGGTGGTACACTCTTAAAGTAGACGAGTCATTGTATCGTACGCAAGCGCATTTCGATCTCCGATCAATGCATTTCAAATATTCAAATTATTATCCGAGCATCCCGTGCGAATGGTGTTTTCATGTTGCTTCAAGACATTGCTAAGCATATCGTGATGTCCTTGATCAATGTCAACTGCTGACGGACAAACGTTCAACACGGGGATTCCTTAGTTGCAGGTTGGTGAAGACAATGACCAAGTTTCATGGTCGCCAACTCATAATGTCATTTCCATTTTTGACACGAAGGTCGTTTTGTTTTGTCATTGGTGTGCCTGGATGTTTCATAAACAGTAGTACCCCGGTTCTCACTTTGAGAACGTACATTGTATCATCACTTTGATTGACTTTTATTCAGACGGCAACTTTCGTCAATGGCAGCGGACTTTAACCCACTCACATTCTCTTTGTACGTTTTACATTGTCTCCATGTAATATTCCCTTTATTCATATCCTGTCCTAGTTTTCTGTTGGAGTACAAATTAAGGCATATATCTGTTGCAATGATTCGATGCTACTTATCCACCGATAATTCCAAAGAACATGTTTAAGGATATCGTAAGCTATTCCATAAAACAAATTATTTAAAAAAGTTTCTTGTGAACCATGCAATATATATTTTGGAAGATTGACCGATGTGGCGTTCTCTGCTTCTACATAGTGATTGATCTTGTTGGGATTTGTATGTTCAATGCATTATTTTCTTTGTCTTCTGTTTATTGTAAAAAAGCACTAAACAACCTCCTGGTCGATGGATTTTTAAACTAGCTATTGATTGAATTAAGCTAATGGAGGTCAACCGTATCGATCAATTGTGTTTTCGCTAATGGGGATAGATATCTGAAAGGACTGCACTTCACTGATTAGATGAAAGATCCTTCCTCAAATATATTCTTTTTTTTTCATCTTGCTAACTATACAAAGTGAATATGTAATGCGCGCACGTTAATTTCTGAGCGTGATACCAGTTTCAAAACTTATTTGTTTGAGGGTCATATTAATTTATATTTAATTAGAACACATACGTGTATCAGAGTGTGATATGAGCTATACCATAAATAACACAAACGTGTATCAGAGTGGGATATTAGCTATATCATAATTATCACAAACGTGTATCATAGTGTGATATTAGCTATACCCTAAATAACACATACGTGTACCAGAGTGAGATATTAGCTATATCATAATTATCACAAAAGTGTATCAGAGTGGGATATTAGCTATATCATAATTATCACAAACGTGGATCAGAGTGTGATATTAGCTATCCCATAAATAACACATACGTGCATCTGAGTGTGATATTAGCTATATCATAATTATCACAAACGTGTATCATAGTGTGATATTAGCTATACGATAAATAACACATACGTGTACCAGAGTGAGATATTAGCTATATCATAATTATCACAAACGTGTATCAGAGTGGGATATTAGCTATATCATAATTATCACAAAAGTGTATCAGAGTGGGATATTAGCTATATCATAATTATCACAAACGTGTATCATAGTGTGATATTAGCTATACCCTAAATAACACATACGTGTACCAGAGTGAGATATTAGCTATATCATAATTATCACAAACGTGTATCATAGTGTGATATTAGCTATACGATAAATAACACATACGTGTACCAGAGTGAGATATTAGCTATATCATAATTATCACAAACGTGTATCATAGTGTGATATTAGCTATACGATAAATAACACATACGTGTACCAGAGTGAGATATTAGCTATATCATAATTATCACATACGTGTATCAGAGTGTTATATTAGCTATACCATAAATATCACAAACGCGTATCAGAGTGTGATATTATCTATACCATAAATAACACAAACGTGTCTCAGAGTGTGATATTAGCTATCCCATAAATAACACATACGTGCATCTGAGTGTGATATTAGCTATACCATAAATAACACATACGTGTATCAGATCGTGCTATTAGCTATATCATAAATATCACAAACGTGTATCAGAGTGTGATATTAGCTATACCATAAATATCACAAACGTGTATATTCGCTCGGCGATTCTCTGTAAGCTTAGACGTCTTCTACATTGCATGTCATGGAAGGCTAATCAACATTCGCCAACAATGTTGTCCTCTGTATCGATTCAAAAGTGTCCATCGTGTCATTTTGTTATGAATTATGTTATTGTTTGTCTATAAAAGGATACAAAATAAATATACAAATAAACGCTTTTATTATATTGCACGTCCTTTCTACGGAATGGGTATGCTCATATCGCATTCTTACCTGTGTAGGCGGCTGATCCTTTGGTGGTAAAAACAGCCCCAGAGTATCCCTCGTTAAAGCTGGGTAGGAGAACCCGTGTAAACGCCTCGTTGTAAGAATATATCACTCCGCCGTAATAAGTGTCGGTGTCGTCATCACGTTGTGCAGAACCAAAGCCCGTGAATATATAGTCATTACCATTTTCAGTGACCTTAACCTGCACATCTACTTTAACCGGAAGTTCTTTGAGATCGTAGGTAAAAGTGGTTTCCGACCCGTTCGCGCCGCTTTGTGCTGTCAAAGTTCTCCATTCACTGGTGTATGTTGGCGAATTGATCAGGGAACTATCTACAATAGTAACATTATTCTTCATATTTTTATACAGATGTAAAACATGTCTAAAATAATTTATTTACCAAGTCCTTACAACTTTGAGTAGATCAGCTCATTTGCTGTTTAATCGACCTATGTATCGTTGAATGAAAATAAGAGAATGTCTTTTTTTAAATAAAAATGCACTTATATAGCAATTTTATTGTAAAAAAAATTGCAAACATATTGAGGATATTAATAGTTTTCTCATTTCGGAATACAGTAATTATCTCAGAAATATGACAACTAATTGATGTTTTATGAGTTATAATCACGAGTAAAAATAGGTACATTGTATATCTAACCATACGAGTGTAACATACATACATATTACATTCTAAACAACCGACGAAATTGTCATTGATCTTACAATTGACAAAAGTCCAGTACTATCGAAATGGTCATAGTGACAAATATTTGTCTATTGACAGATCGTCTTTAAAGCGTTTAACGAATCAAAATACGTTAAAGATAAAAAAAAAAAAAAATGGCAATATAAAATGTCCATTCGCAAAACAAATATATATACAATTCAACTACTATCATAGTATAATCTTTTGTAAAATGATAACCACCATTATCAACATCATAGCTTTTTAAGCCTATCCATACAGCAAATCCTCGTATTAAACGTCAGGACAAAACACTGACCATGCAATACAGATATAGCTAGAGGCCTTGATATCAAACGGAATCACTTCCTGATTATGACATAAGCAAAAATATAATAAAAACTGGCAGTGCACTGAACAGAACTCCAATACCACTTTAAAAGTCTCAGTTAATTAACAAAGCCTTTGAACAAAGTGGCAAGTTATAATAAAAGATAAATATTTTGAATACCTAAATAAAATTAGTCTATAGTGGGTCCAATACTATTTTATCATTAAACATAATGTGTAATAAAGCTCTGTGTACCTCAACGGTCGAAAATCCGGCGTATTTGAATCAATGGTAGCATTTATTAGAAAAAAAATATTTCATTCTCATAACTCTGTTGATATTTTCTAAAATGTGGTAACAACGGAAAGTTTGGAAAAAAAGAGAATCCTTAAGCATCAACAAAACAATCATTTGATTAAAATTCGATAACACCTGGGTAAGATCTGATCCAGGGTGAATCAGACCAGGTGTTCCGGAAGGGTAAGCGTATTTTGCTTTATCAACGACACCCGTCATTTAAATCTAGGACAAAACCAAGGTAATGTAACGTCCTCGCATCGAAAACCAAATCACAAGACACAATAATGAGCATAATTAAAAACAATCATCAACGACTTTCATATCACAAAAAAAGGCATATTTCCATATGGGATATTGATGGCAAACATGAAACTTGTCTATGATCTTCACTTATTTGCCTTTTTGAAACTCTTTTCTTATTCGAAAATGTTTAACATACCTGGAACCTTTATTGTGAGTGATAAACTTTGTTAACGAAAGCATTAGAACGAGTCGATAACCACCCACCGACTGGTAGCAAGGATACAATTGTCCTTGGCCTGCAATATACTTTTCAAAGAATATTACTTCCGATAATAACGTTTAAAGCATAAATGTCCAAGACAACCATACACATATGCTAGAAACTTTGTGAATTAAAAGGTAATTTACTCGTAATTGAAAATGATCAATGATTATTTTCGACTATTGCCGTTATTATGTTTTTCATTAGAAACTATTTCAGAAATAACAGAATGCAGCCTATCATGTGCCTCATTAGATACACAAAACCTTATCATGCTGGCTTTCATTTTTGGGTTGTCTCTTCGGTTCAAATTGCTGATCGCTTTTATTGAATTTGTGTTCCTGCTTAAATTATTTTCCTGAGGTTTGGATGCATTTAATATCTGTCCTTCCTGTGGATGGATGAATTATCTGCTGTAATGAAAATAACCATGCATCGATAATAACCTCTTGTCTGTATTACTCTTTATATCTTTACAATTCCATGTCTCTCTAGTTCCAGTTGTAAACGTTTCAATAACATTTGAATCTGATGTGTTTTGAGGTTGTACGAGTTTGCTACATGTTTCTTCGAATAATATAAACCTATAACACGTGTTAAAATAAATGTTTTAAAACGACATTGCTGAAACTCGTTGAATGAAATCTGAATAATACATTTCGATATAAATAAAATATCCCAAACAAACAGTTTATATTACTGGATAACATGGGGCTTTCGTGATGTATTGTTTCCGCAAATGAAGCGTTTGAAGCGGATCGCAAGTTGTAATACATTAAACGTATGCTAAATAGAATGTTATCCAGACAATCGGGTGCTCAACAGACGGGTCGTATTTGTGTACATAAGATATTGCAAACAACACGATCTTATTGTGAAGATAACAAAGTATCCACAAATGAAATTCATACTTTCAAAGTTGCCTGTTAAATATAGTATAAAACTTTATCTTTACGACATAAAGTTAATTCGAAAAAAGCGTAGTATATCATAACACCAATGATAGACATAACGACGTAGTGAACGGAATGATGACGTCATGTTTCTACTCAATGGATTTCAATTCATCGAATTGGAAATAATGTAACGATTTATGTTTTATCTAGCTATTTTAAATTGACCGTTATGTTACATATTTGTAAAACCCAACGTTTCGTTCTACAGTAAAATTACGCGGTTATTTCAAAAATACGCGTGCTGAGTGACACTTGACATTACTGCAGTACTACATGTAAAAACCACCGAGAAAACTACCCAATAATTAGTATAACGATTCTGACTATTTTGAGCGTAGTTAATATGTTCAAGGCTCAGACACTCATATTGCAGCTCCCAGGAGTATCAAGCTTAATTATAATCATCATAGTTACATTTGAGTTACGGTGGGGCCAGGGCCTATGGGAAATCTGACATTATGCACCGAATATTTTGCATACAAGGTGACACTTAGTGTATGTTGTTGGAATTCCTAATTCTTTACTTAAGTTAAAACAAATATCTCCGAAACCTCCCAATTACAATTTGAAGGTGAGTTCTGAACAAAAGCCCTGTCAAATTGTAAAGAGATATCATACGTTCTTTTTATAGCATTTCTTTTGTTACATATGCAATATGATTTATTCTAATATCCAGAATCTATGATTTAAGTTAAAATTTATTTAATGAACTGAAACACGTTGTATAACTATATACATATACAATCTATTATCCTCGAAATCATTCAACCTAGCTGTTGATCATGGCCAATGAACCATTTTATAATCAAGTTCCCTACGTGATTTCATTTTAGTAATTCAGTTTTATGTGTATTCTATTTATTATTGTACCTTTCTTCTTCTATCGGATTTTCAATATGGAATTTGTTTATTTACGAGGTACGTTCAAACTTAGCTGTAAAGCATGGTGCACAATCGATCATAAATCTATTAGATTTAGAGCTGAAATATTTTATTTATTTGCCGACATGTCAATATTTACACGGGTTTCAGCAGTAATGAAAGTGTAATTAAGTGATAAACATACAAAAATGGAACATCCGTTTACCTCAAGCCATACTCATGTAAAATAGACTGTGCAATAAATGTATGCCAAAGCCCACTAATAACTACGTGGGTGAATAGGACTAAGTTATGTCAGAGTTTAGTATATTGAAATGAAATTACACGGGATATTTTCCAGAACGTCGATTTACTCATTTACCCCTGAAATTTCATAAGGAACTACTCCCACCTTTGATTTGGAAGAGGTCAAATTTGTCTTCAGGGGTGAATGAGTTAAAGCATAATACTTAATTTGCGAGATATAATATAATAATGTCTTATCATTATGTGTTTACACATCATACTACTTTTTCAAGACAAAATCCTCGATTCTTTGTCAGGTTATAAGAATGTGGTTACTTCATAGGTACATGCGAGGTTTTGCCGTTTTGTAAACCTGCCGAATACATTTGGCAGTAATAGCACAATTATTGTCATAGCATTACAATACGAGAACCATAAATGCTGTTAAAGATCAGCAATGCAGACATTCGCTTTGTCTATTCTTTATAACGCCACTATAAGCCCAGTAGAATTCAACTTCATCTTCATTCTTTTCAGATTCACTATGCTTTTTAACGTCATTAAGAAATATAAACCTTGTTGGGTTTCTTTTTCGTTTATTCAAGTGCTTTGAAGTTTCCGTTGAACATATCATACACATTTTATTATTGCAATAGAATATCGTTATTTGCGAAACATGGGTTGTTTACAATATGTAGATACCTAAACAAGCCAGACAAAACCTGCCAAATTCAGTACTTCTATTCTTCACAGTGATTCCGAATTTTATATGAAAAACAAATTACAAATATACAAGTAAGAAGAACTCATGAAGGAATATCTATCTACAGTAGGATAACACGATGTCAACTATCACAAAAAAAAAATGTCATATACGAAGATTTCATATTTGATCAGTTGACCGATACTAACCATCACTGTTCGCAAAATTACTGTTACAGGTCTTAATTGACACGATTGCAAATCATTACATCAATCCGAAATAAGCTGTGTTTCAACAATCGCTGTAATTGAATAACTGTATCGTATCACACAAACACTATATCAACCACGGGCTACTAAAATTGTCATAAGTCGGCATTACTGACACATTTATCGTAAAAATAACTTACCTTTAAATAAGAACAGCATAACAACGCAATGTAAATATGATGGCTTTCTATTTCCACAAATCATGATTGCTGTGGTAGTACAATGGCCATAGATAAGCAGGAAAGTGTCATTACAAAATCTGGTTCCTGTAAAATTCGAGATAGTGGATGCATTAGTCAATCCATCACCACCAATGTATGTAAGGCATTGTTAATATCGTCTTGCAACTTCTCGTTAGGACTATGGCAGCGCACCCTTATATATCCCCCGCCGCCAGTCGTCTATAGATCTGGAGAGTACAGCAGGTGGTCCCTACTAGAAAGCGTGAGCCCATCACACCGGTTTTTCATCTCTGTATTGGTCATCTTTACAATAGAA